TTATGGAAGAACCTGGAAAGATTTTCCCACCATTTTCAATTTCAAGGAAAATGGCACGTGGGATGGAGGAGAGTGAAAACTTTTTCTTAGCTAAATTTTACCCATCAAACAACTCTTTTGCGTGGAAAAGGAAAATATTTTCCATTTTCCATGGAAAATAGAGGCTATCAAACATAGCCTTAGTTTTTATATTTTAACAAGGTTTTAGTTTTCTATTTCTTAACTTCTTTACCCTATAAAAAGATAAGGATAACCTCTTTTTCTGCCTCAAAGAATTCAGTCTCGCCCTTGTTCTTCTTCTTCTTCTCAGCTTGCTTAGCAAACTTCTGCAGATTCACCCAAAGATGTCAACCTTTGTGGAAGTTGCAATAACATAGGCTTGGTTGACACGTCTTAGAGGAACGCCATTGATCTTGAATGGTCCTACAGCAGCAATTAGACAAAAATTGAAATAACCTCAGTGTAACAGAGGGTAATTTCAAGAGCTATGTCTTTACGGTTGAACGGACTACTAAAGAGGGTATAGACAAAATTCTATAAGAAAAATACTATTCATCCCCAGTTTATGTGGATGTAAATGATTGGTTAAATGATAGGTAAAATTAAATGACTTATTTAATTTCACCTATCATTTAATACCACATAGACTGGGGATGCATCCCCATTAGGGATGAATAGCATTTCTCATTCCATAAAGGTATGTTTAACTACCCACCATAAGTAAATCAAGAATAAAAATTAAGTTTCTATTAAGAACTTCACAACGAAGTAAACACATTCTGTAACAGCTTGGCAGGGTCATTTGATATGTCCTGGAATCATATCATACTTGAAAGAAACTACAATATTAAGAGCAAGAAATGAATACAAATACTATGCATTCAAAACATTACAGTGAAAATGTGAAATATATTCTCATTATCAGACTATTAACCCCATTGAGAACCGAGTTCAGATTTAGATTTCTAAATGACTACAATTCATCGCTGGTTAGATACCTTATTTTATCATATCATATCAAATACCATCATAGTGACAAAAAATGATCAAATAAACAAGGGCAACATTTATTTTCAGGCAAACTAAGTATTTCAAGCATTATTTAAACATAATAAATGAATTTTTCATGGCCAATCCCAAAGGCAATGAAAGAGAACTTGCTCCCAAGGCAATAGATATGAAAATGCCATCTTGCAACTAGTGGGAGTTGACTA